TTAAATAACATTGAACAAAATTCAAGTGGTCTAAAAATCGGGGAACTCTCGAGTTTATTAAATAAATTTCCGTTTTTTTAGAGTTTATATTTTATGCATAAACTACACAAGTCAAAAAAAGGAAAACCATCAAAAATTTGATTAATATCCCTAAAAAAACAGGCCAAAACAAAAATAAGGGCGTTATTTTAAGTGTTAATAAAACTTGTTACACATATATACAACATCCTATAACTTCTTATGTTTAAAATGATTATAGAAGATAGTTGTTGAGTATTAAACTTTTATTGTTTATACAGTACTAAAACAGTCTAAAAATATCACAAATTAGTAGTTAATTAAACACCTTCTGAGTGATATTGTATATTTCAAGATACCTATCTGCAATATCGTTGCGCCCAGCGTTTCTGATCATCTGTATGATATCGAGTTGTGGTGTTTTGTTGGTGATTTTTGGCAAATTTAGTGTTGAGACATCGGTGTCACCAAATATGTATTTGAAGAGTTCTTGTGAGTACTTTTCGTACGCTTCTTCCTTTTCTTGTTGTGTGCCGAAAATTGATATTCTCGTCATTTCTTTGACCCATGGGTTCTCTTCAAGCATTTTTTGATTCCCATTTTCCATGTAATATTCGTACCTTCCCTCATTCAAGTGTTGTTCAAGTGTATCTGGGTCGTATGTCATGACAACACCATTACCAAAATCAACAGATTCCAACTTGTGATGCACTTCATTTTGACTTGGTTTTATCACTTCAACTGATTTTGTTTCTGTCAACTCGTGTTCGTTTATTTTTGTAGTTGGTTGTTTTGTTGGCTCAATTTGTTGTGACATCTCAAGTTGGTGTTTACTCGCAGCTGGTGGAATTTCTTGTTCTGTTGGTATAACTTTACGGTCTATTTCGTCGTTGTGTACTTTGTTGTTTGGTTTGATTATCTCTTTGTGTTTCTCTTCAACTTCGTTTTCTTTGTCTTGTTCAGAGTTTTGTTGTTGTGGAATTTGTTCTTCTTTCTTCAAATCAGCAACACTTTGTATTGCGTTAAGAATCAACTTCCCATTCTTTTTGATCGCCACATCTTCTTCTTTGTTTAACACCTCTTTGTCACTATTCATCTTCGCATTTGATGTAATTTCTTTCTTTTGTTCTTCAATTTTTGGTTTAATTTCTGCCTTATTAATTTCAACTATTTTCTCTATTTCTTTTTGTTTCACATCTTCTTGTGCAACACTTTCGATGACTGTCTTTTCTTTTGTTTGTTTTGTTTCTTCATCAAAACAAATGTGTTCTTTTTCAACATCAAAAACTTGTTCGTCTTTGTTGGCGTGTTTGATGTCTTTTTGTAATATCAACAAAGTCCCTTCCTTTTGTAGTGCAATTGTAAATGCCACAGCAAACATCTGGTCGTCAGTTAATTCACATTTTGTTTTTTCTGTCGATTCTTTGAGTGTTGTTTCATCAGTCACGCAATTTTGAATTGGTGGATGTTGTGATTTTGTCGTTTCTTGTGTCAAAGTATAATCGTTCAGTGTTTGTAATTCTTTTTGCCCATCTTGTAATCGGACATTTTCATTATTTTGTGATTGTTGTTGTATGAAAGCGATTTCCTTGTTTTGTAGAGCAACAGCAAATGACACAGCAAACAACTGGTCTTCGGTTAATTCACTTTCATTTTGTTTTGTATTTTGTTGTTTAGTTTCTTCTTTGATCTCTTCTTTTGTGTCATTTAAACGTGGCGTTTCAATTTGTGGTGTGATCGTCGTTTCATTACTTGTGTTGTTTGTGATTTCATCAATTTTTGTCGTGCCAATCGTAACCGTTTCAATTTGTTCTTCTTTTGTTATTTCGTTTTGTATTTTTTCTTCAACGACGTCTTTTTGTTTTTGTTCGACTTCCAAATGTTCAGCTTCTTGTATTTCTTTTAATACAGTTTCTTGTTGTGAAATTTCGTCATTCACTTTCACATCTACTTCTGGTTGTTCATTTTTTTCTTCTTTTGGTTTTTCATCACTTTGTGGTGTTGTTGTTTGTTTTGTATCTTCATCTTTATTATTATATTTATTATATTCGTCTTTGTCTTCAATAACTCCAATTTGTTTGTTATTTTTTGTCATTCTCTTTCTTCCTTTTGGAAGTGGTACATTTTTTCTCGACGGACATTTCATTATATTATCTTCTTTCTCATCATGATTTGGTGGCATAATAAGTGTCTCTTCTTCATTTTTAACGTCTTGTTTTCGTTGAAATAGTTGTCCAATAACATTTCGATTTTGTGTGAAATTGGTTTGTGTGGGTACTACTGTTGTATTTACCGCCACATTTTCTTTTTGTTGAGTTTGTAACTGAATGGCGTCTTCTTGTTGTTTTGGTTGATTGTCTTCATTATCTTTTTTGTTTGGATTTGCAATATTTATTATGTCTTCCTTTCCCACATTTTCATTATTTTGTGATTGTTGTTGTATGAAAGCGATTTCCTTGTTTTGTAGAGCAACAGCAAATGACACAGCAAACAACTGGTCTTCGGTTAATTCACTTTCATTTTGTTTTGTATTTTGTTGTTTAGTTTCTTCTTTGATCTCTTCTTTTGTGTCATTTAAACGTGGCGTTTCAATTTGTGGTGTTATTGTCGTTTCATTATTTGTTTCGTGTGTTGACTGGACATCTTTTTGTTCTCCGTCTTCTTTGTTTTCTTCCATTGCTGTTTCATTTTTTAAATTCAAATGTTCTTCATTTGTTTGTTCGACATTAACATTTGAAGTTTCAAAGCTCTTCTTTTCTGTTATATTTTGTATCCCCTGAGCATTCTCTAGTTGTTCTGTAGTTTTCTCTTCCTTTTTCTCTTCATTTTGAGTTCCATCGTTCTCTGTGTTTGTGTGGAGTTTGTTAGTTTCCATATACTTCTGAGCTTCTTGTGTGTTTAATGTGACCTCGTCTGTGATAACTTCAGTCACCAACTTTCCCTTCTTTTTACTCTCTTCAGTTTGAACATCGTCACTTTCATGCATTTCCTTGACCTTTTGAAACGCTTGGTCTTTCTTCATTTGAAGTAATTCTTTGTTATCTTGGACATCCACAACTTCATTGTGCTGTTTTCCTATTTCGGTTGTTTCCATTAAACTAATTAGTTGTTTGAAATATTTACCCTTAATATGATTATTTATTCACTTTTGAGAAGTCAATATTGTCACTGTATTTTATTCATTGTCTTCTTATTATTTATAGTATTTTGTATTATTTTATTTCAAGTCGTGTTATTTATTCCCATTTCTTAATTATTGGAAGTAGATTATTTCAATGTTTGTCTAATCGAAAAAAAAATAAAAAGGGTTTCAAAAATTGTGAAACGGGGTTTGATATGAATAAAATATTTTTTCATATAAAGACATGCCATGGAAAATATTGTTTTTTTTATTAACCAATTTTTTGGCAAATTGTTTAGTAAAAAAATTAAATTAAAAGAAACTCATTTCGTTTTAAAAATATTAAAATACGTTGATAGTAAAAACGTTTGGTTATTAAACTATTAACAACTGGTTAATCATCATAGTATAATTATGATATAATCAATTATACATTTTATTATAACAATATAATAATATTAATTATATATATAACTAATTTTGAATTTACAATAATATATTTATGTATTAAATTGTGTAATAAATAATATATTATATAATAGTACATTTTTGAAAAAAAAATATAATTACATTTTTAAAAACATTTATTAACACCTCTTAAAATTATATAAAAAACTAATAAAAACTAAAGATTAATAGTAAAGTCACAAATAAACTTGAAAAACAAATTAGCTATTAATAAATTATTATTATATTAACAAGTTTTCTTTTTTTGTATGTTTTTATTTCCATCAACTTTTTACATGAAAGACCAATTGCCCTTAATTATTGTGAAAAATAAATAATAAAAAATTAATAAACAAATTTATATTTGATATCATATATAAATTATAATAATAGTATATAAATAATAAAGTAAATAATGGTATGGTTTCAATTAAATCAGCGTCGAACAGGTTTACCTTGGGTTAGTGTAAACCACGTGATACGAAGCATTATAAAGAAGGCTCAGGAATACACACGCAAACAATCTGTTTGTGCACCCGTTTTACCCACGTTTTATACTCCCCAGTCACGGATCACCCGCTTGCGGGAAAATGACATCTGCGTCTACCCAGTACGGACAAAAAATTGGTTAACACGGGGCGTACAAATAGTAGATGAGAAGAGGTATAACACATAATTTTGATTTGAATTTAGGTCAAATCAGTCGGTTTCAACACAAAATCATAAAGATATTATTATTTATATAATAATTATGATATTAATTTAAAAAACAAAAAAAATTGTAAAAAAAGATATATAGATCACGATGATGACAAAAATTTGTCGAGCGACGAGGGAGTGCTTGTCGATATTGATGGATTCGTATTTTTTTCATATTACAACAACATGAAATAAGAACTAAAATTCAAAAATGTTGTTTAACCACTGTCGGAACCTATCGAATTGTCTTGAATTGTCGATAAACATTAAAAACATGAGAAAGAATGACAGTCGCGTACTAAAAAGAAAAAAATGATGGTTTGTGTTTTATCGGAGTAAAAATATTGACGACGGGAAAAGTGCTAACAATTTAGGTTGATTCCAAAAATTGCAATCAATTAATCTTTTCGTTATAATTTTTGTTCAAATCTTGTAGATTATGTCTCTGTTGTTGTAATATTTTTGAATAAGATATTGTGTGGCAAAAAATCCTCAAAAAAATGAAACGGGTTTACAATGATTTTTTTAAAGAAAAAGCAAAAAAGTAACTTTTTTTTCTATCAGGGTCTATCACGTGACAAAAGTGTTTTTTCTTTGTTATTTGCCACCTCACCAAAGTGGTCTTGAATTTATGTTCACTTAGTTCTTTTAGATCTAGAGGCGAGCTTAAAGCCGACTTTTGTATAAGAAAAAACTTAGAAACAAATAGTTATTTGAATCAATACTTGGCCAAGTAATGGGAAAACAAGCCAATTCAAATTTTAAATATCGGAATATATTTTATTACTGCTGTGATTGCCATAATTAACACAAAAATTGTGACAAATGCAGCACTATTTTACACATTATCCCGATAGTCACAAATAACATTTTAATAACACAAATAACAATCTATTAAATAATTGTATTTTTATTAATAATATGTAATAAAATAAACCCATTCAACTTAAAATAAATCTAAAAAGCTAATAATTAATAATTCAAAATGCTATAAAAAATAATAATAATAGAGAAAGGTTTATTTTCATGTTTATATTTAACATTACTAACTAAATATTTATATTTTAAAACTATATTAAAATAATAATAATCAAATTTAAAAACTAAAATATATTTGTTAATTATTAAATATACTAAATAACAAATAATATCAATACTATTGTTTAAAACTATACAAAATGAAATAATGTATTAATAATTAATTAAATTGTTTAGTACATGATTTATATTTAAAAAACCTAAATATAAACTTATAGTTCATATAATAACTTATTTTATTATTATTATATTATCAACTAAACTAGTAACAATAACCATAATTAATTACAACACAATTTCAATTATAACACAATACAATAGCCATAACACTTGACATGATCAATTCACAACGATAATACAATGATGTCATAAAGAGTGTAATGCTCAAAGACATAAGGCGATGTTCAAAGACATGATAACACACTCAAAGAAGAAATGTAACAATCAAAGACATAAGATAATACTCAAAAACAGGACAAGCTACTCAAAGACAATAAAGAATACCAAATAGACAATGCAATAATCAAAGACAAAGCAAAAGATTCAGGGACTGTATATGATGTTCATGAGTCATTAGAGTGACAATTATTTATCTAATTGTTAATTATCACTTATTTGATCTGATAAATATGTAACACAGTAAATAACATGGTGTTTTTATCGAGATAAATAATAAATTGATATATAATGATAACCACCAATTGGCCTATTAACAATAGTAATTACAACAATGATAGCAACTGAATTATAAAATAGATCAAAATGTTATGATAATAGATAATAAAACAAACATTTGGGCGTAATTATTAAATTTTTAAATTGAAAAGTTCCAATGTTTTAACAATTAGGTTATAACAAAAAAAACTATAGCAATAATATGTTAATTTATTATATCAACTTATTATAAAAAATAATATAAATACTATTAAAAAATAATATGTTTATTTTTAAAAAACTTAATAATATAATATTTTAATGTTTATAGAGTCAATCTTTTAACTTTATCTAATCTCAAACGTTATTTGGCGGACAAAAATAGCTATAATAGTGTCTAATCATCAGGCATTGACGACATAATTGGGTCGGTGATTTAGTCTACAGCTTCTCCACATGGCATATAATCATTTCTAGTATGTTTAATCATCCAGTTCAATCTTTCTTTAACTATGCCTGCATGATTGTCGAATTCGTTGTTGAGCAATTCAGCCCAACTCATAAACATTGTGACAATTCCCCATGGTGGGCTTACTTCACCAGCTTCTTTTCCTCCAATATTCCACTTTGAGGAATAGAAGTATGAGTCTTGTGGATATCTTGCAAGACCGTATTCAAGTTTGGTGTTGAACTTTCTGATGTTATCAAAGTGTTTTTTATCTTTATTTGATCGTTTACGATGTCACTGAACGCCATAATCGCAGTCGATGTGTCGATGATCACTTTTTGCTTTTGTTGTCCTGCCAAATGACTTGGACAAAGTACCCTTTCTCTTCATTCCAGAACAATTTCTCAAATGAAGTTGATAGGTCCTGTGTCTTTTTCTCAGTAATTCGGCTCTTTTAGTATCTTTATAATACTTATCTTCCATCATAGCAGCCGCTAACAATCTGTGGTGGCCTTGAATTTATGTGAATCCATAGTATTGCAGTGGGACACTTAATGAAGTCCATCCATCACTGCTTTCCTCCCAAATCGAATAGTCTGGCTTAATAAGATTTTTCCAATCTCTATACAACAAGAAAATCACCAATTTATTTTATTCGTTGTTTGACTGTTTCGTCATTAATTAGTTCAGTTGTTTGTGTCATTTGTGTGTAGTAGTAATACAAATACAAAACAACACCAACGGTATCATGTTGTGGCTCAACAAACCCCACATATGTCCCATCTTACCAGCTGTATGTCGTTGCGGAGAATTCATTGTCTCGAAGCTCCGCTTTTGCAAGACATTTCAAGAACTTTTCTGTCACTACAAAACTCCGTTTTCGTATTCAAAATATCAATTTTATCGAGGTGAATTGTATTAATTTGAAATAATAGTTTTATAATTATTTTTATTTTTTCATTTTGTTTTTGAAATATTATAATAGTTAATACATATAACAATAAATATTATATTTTATTATAATTTAAAAAGAGCCAGATTTTTTTCAACTGACTTGTTTTTATAGTACTTCTATATAATATTCTTTAACATTTTATTAATAAAATCAATAATTATTATCATGATTGTTAATTTAAAATAAATTAATTATGATCTATACTAAAACACACCAACAAACAAACTTACTGACAGTTTTCAAGTAAATATATTACTCATAAATATGGTTAATATATGATTCAATAATAGCTTTGATGAAATTATAAAAAAATAAACAATAGAATGTAAAGGGGTGGAAAAAACCGCTTCAGGAAAAAAACTGCTTTTGATAATTTTTGGTGAATAATGGTAAAATGTTTTCTAAATGTTATTTGATTTTATTTTTTTTAAACAAAAAGAAAAAAAACATCATTTTCATTTTGCCTGAGCATTTTTTCGAAGTGTTTAGAAAAAGGCAGTTAAAGTCTATTTATATTACGGTTAATAATTGAGTTATTCCAGAATTTATTTGTAAGTAAACTGGATATTACCAACATAATAAAGACATTTAACCAAAAATACATTTGTTTTCAAATAAATAAACATTAAGTATGATAATTTTAATAAATAAATAAAACAAGAATGAATGTTGTTATCTTCGTTATCGGCTTCTTCCTTGTCGTCACTTTAAATTTATCACTTTAATATCATTTTCTTCATTGTGTTGCTGTCTAATAAACAAACAAAAATTGTTTAACTTCGCATTAAACGTTATATTTTGTAATTTACACTTTAAAAGTTTTCTTTTATACCTTTCTCCATTTTTTGATTATTAGAACTTTAAAAATTTATATTTTACAGATTTTTATTGCGATAAAACGCAATAATAATAAATAGAAAATTTAATTAAAAAAATAAAAAAAAAATAAAACCAAGTTATTTTTTTCTTTTCGAGGTTTCTTTTCATTTGAAATTTTGTTCTTTTCATCCTTTTTTATTTTCATAAGTTTTTCAACATTGAGCCTGTGCTCTCTATCAGTAAAGTTCTCAATGGAGACTCTAACTGTTTGGGTTTCTTTTCTTTTTGGATCCTTACCAAGAAAAGAGCAAACCTCTCTGGCATAAGACATGTCAACTTTTGCAACACCTTTAAGAAGGTCAACAGTGTTGAAGTTGGGGTTGACACGTCTCATGTTTTCCAACTCTTTTTTTGATGGGTGTTGAACCACGTATATTATACCAGCCTGTTTGAAGGCGCTGGTCATCGTGTCGCCATCAGACACTACTTCCCATGAGTAAACAAGCTGCCTAATTTTGTCTTCCTCCGAGAGCTTTGAAAATTTTTTCAATGCATTTTTGAACTCGGGTGAGTTCATTTTGAGAATTTTCCCGTTTATTTGGACCTTTTCGTCACACTTTTCATTTTCTTTTTCACTTAATGAAATTTTGTGTAACATCAAATTGTTTTTGTCCGCAAGGAAAGTTTTTTGTTTCCCGAAAATTCCCAGATCCATAGGCTGACATAAATGGGAACTGTGGGGGACTTCCTTTAAAATTTCAACACAAATTTCCCGAAATAATGCTTCAATTTCATCACTGAAATGGCCCGAAAGCCGTCAATAATTAGATACGCCTTCGTATCAACTCTCACACCCATTTGGTTTCTTTTTTTCCTTAATAATCGGGAAAATACTTGTTTGAGCCACATTGTGTATAATTCCGTATTTAGAACACCCGATTTTTGGTATCTAATAATAGCACGACTCTTGAGTTCCACAATTAGGTTGTCTTCGATGGTGAGTCTTTTGGTAACAACAAGGGGTATCATTTTTGTCCCATCTAGACAACCACAACACAAAAGACTCGTTCTGGAACCATCTCTGTCGACTTCGTTAAAAACTTGTTCCCCTGATTCGACTGACACGTAGACAACTCGGGTTCTTGAATCAACCCATTCATCGAATCCAACTTCATCTAAGTTAAAAACAAGCTCAAATCTGCATCCATCCAATTTTCTTTTTAATTCCGAGTAATACTGCAGGATGGCAGTTTGTGATACCTCTGCTCGTTTTGTTTCCATAACTTGGGCTTTTTTTGTTTCAATTCCTGGGATTAATTTAAGGACTTTATTTAATTACCTTGTTCTCATTGTTTTGCCGAAATTTTCAAACATGAAAAGTCCAATTTCTTCTGGTTTTGCTTTTTTGGTTTCTTTCATTTCTTCTGCTATTTTTAGAACTTCTTCATCTGAAAGAATTCGTTTTCTTCCCTTTTCCGAAATTTTTCCATTTTTGTCTTCTTTTCGTATTTTTTGAATATGTGAATTTACACCGGATTCCTTAAAATTCCCGAAAAAATACTCAAGTTCTACTCTAATTGATTTTTTAGTTCCTTTAAACTCATTAATTGGCACATTAGAAAGATCGTTTAATGAAAACCGCACTTGCTCTCTAAAAGTGGGAAAAGATTCTTTTTTTATTTTTATCTCAAGGTCTTGGAAAGCTTTGAAAATAATAGGGCAATTAATTAGGTATTGTTCAGCCCTTTGACTAACAGGAGTTTTCGGACCAATCATTTTCAAACTTTCATGTTTTTCGGAACCTTTTTTATATTCTTTCTTTAATTGAGGGTGCTTGGAAGAAGGTTGTGACATTGTTTAAAAAGGTTTATAAAAGAGTTTATTAAATAGGCTATTGATATTGTTTTTTATATTATTGTTAAATTTTATAGATTAATTATTATTTTTATTTCTAAATTTAACAAGTGTTTTTTTAATCTAAAAATTTTATAGTTACTTTGTTTTGTTGCGATAAAAGACTTTTTTTAATTTTTATTGTTAGTAAAGTTAAAGAATTGTTTTTATAATTTACTTGTATATTATCAAATGAAAAAAAACTTTGTTATTAATTAATAAATTTGTTGTTTGTTAATATTATTTTTAATCAATTTAAATAATTGATGTTGCGATAAATAAATTTAGATTTATAAATTATTATATTTAAAAACTATTAATTATTATAATTTAACCATTTATGTAACTAAAATCGTATTTTTGAAAAATTGGTTAAAAAATAGTTTATTTACTATTATAAAATAGTTAAAAACGATGACTTATATTTTTCTTATTGTCAACTTAAATTGCATGACACCATAGAATGATCATGAATTGATTCATTTGACACGAAGTATCGAAGCCGTGGTTATCTTTGTGTATTTCTTTTGAACTTTCAAGTGTTGAGTAGTTTTCATTACTTTTCAGACTCACCATTTGATTCAATTTTTGAAACAAGTTATTGTATAAATTATAATAAAATAATTAATGTTTTTAGTTATTGTCTTCTTTATAAAAGTATGTGCTGAAATCCCAAAATGTTACATATATTTACTGTAATAAAATGAACAATATAGTCCATCAAATAGTAAGAGAGTTGTTGATAATCATTTTTTTATAATTACTAGATAAAGGTATTAGAACCCCTCTAAAATAAATAACACATCAACTTTCACTTTGGCACCATGTCTTCTCAATAACGTATTAAGTTGATAACAGTCATTGTCTCCATGATGTTTTCAACAATTTTTATTGAAATGCACTTTTGGGCAAGCATTTTGGCTAACGGGAAAAACCGCTTCACTACCATTTACTTGTTTTATTGTATAGAATAATAACGTTTTTGGCATTTTGCCTAGTTTTAAAATAAAAAATAATACGGTGGCGAAAAACTGCTTTAGATCTTTTTGTCTTTTTTTAACCAAATTTTTATTGTTTTATGATGAAAACTTATCCAATAACCAAATATTGCCTTTTAAAATTGTGAAAAGATAGTGTGTTTTTTCTCGGCATACAAATATTTTTTTTAACCAAATGTATTGAATAACACACAAAACCACACAATAAACTTGAATTTATTCACCATACAGAAATGATTGCCGCACTTTCGGATCGTCCACAGTATCCTCCCAGTCTTTTTTAACATTTCTCTGCACGGCGGGAAAAACCGCTTTACTACCATTTAGTGATAAAATTACACACAATTATAACTAAAGTTTCAAATTGCCTCAAATAATTGAGGTTTTGGTGGAAAAAAGCAAAAAACACGAGAAATTATAACGGACATGTGCAGCGCCCTTTTACCGCTTCTAATAATTTACACAAAATCATACGTCTTACATTGTTTTTATTAACCAATATTAATAAATTGCTTCGTTTATTTTAAAAAGTTTCAAAAAAGCAAGTACAACGAAACAAAGAATCATTTATCGTTTGCTTGACAGCAAGGTTCTACATTTTTTGGTCTGTCAAAAAACTCCATTTGGAACTAGCAATACATTTAGGGTCTCTTAAACCCTCCGATATTTTTCCTGTTTTCATTATGCCTTAGGAAAATTTCATTTTAATCAAAAAAAATAAATTAATATTATACGCATTCGACCTAATTTGTCGGGAATATTTTTGGTTTATATTTCGTGAATATCTTTAAAACAAACGGGAATTAATTATTGTTTATTAGGATAGATATGTCGAGAAAGTTTCTACAAAATCGGGCATTTTATTTTAAAACATTGATTAATCAAAAACAGTTATAGGAC